GCTGCGGGGAAAGGAGGAGAGAGGGAAGGGGGGTAAGAGGTTGAGGGAGAGGAGCAGGGTCACCTCATGCCCCCAGGGAGGACCCGTGGGGTCAGCGCCATCCCGGCCAGCCCGGTGCTGGTACCTGTAGAAGCAGCAGAGGATGTCGAGTCGGCGTTTCTCCCGGCGGTACAGATCCAGGCTGAGGATGGCAGGGAAGACGAACAGCACCATGGCGAAGTTGAACACCACGACCACCGCAGCCTGTGGTTTGGGGGGGACACGTCAGAGCAGGGTCCGAACACCCCTTCCAAGCCCTTGGAGAAGGACCCTGGCCCTACCTGGAGGGAGAAGGCGCGCAGGGCAGGGATGGGCACCAGGGCTGCCATGAAGAAGGCGATCATGTTGCTGATGGAGGTGAGGGCCACGCTGGTCCCCGTGCGCTTCAGGCACTCGCCTGTCCGCTCCTGTGGGGACAGAGGGAGGAAGTGACGAGAGGGACCATGGGGAGAGGGGAGAGGGACCATGGGGAGAGGAGAGAGGGCTGGGCAGCCCCTGGGCAAGGCTGGGTGCTCACCTTGAAGGGGATGTGCTGGCTGGTCTCGGTGAAGGCATGAGCCAAGAGGAACATGTCATCCACGCCAATGCCGAGGGCCAGGAAGGGCAGGACCTACCAGAGAGCAGCCAGTGTCAGCAGGGGGACGCAGGCACCACCCCACAGCCCCCCCACGGTCCCACCAGCCCCGTGGTACCTGGCTCCTTACCCCCAGCACGTACCTGGGTGGTGGCTGCGTTGAAGGAGATGCCCAGCAGTGAGCAAAGCCCCAGGCCAGAGGCCACGGAGAGAGCCACGAGCAGGACCCCAGCCAGGCCCACAGCGCCCTGGGACTTGGAGCAGTCCCACCGCAGCATGGTGACACAGGCGTAGGCCAGCTGGAAGAGCACAGTGGGTGAGCGGGGACAGGGGGATATGGGAGGGATGGCGGGGGATGGAGAGAAGGGGCACACACACACACACACACACACCATGAGGAGGTACCCCCCGGCCACCCGGATGGCGCTGACGTCGGAGAAGGACTTCATGATGTCGTTGAGCGTGGTCGTGGAGAAAGCGTGGACGCTCTGCGTGGCGTTGGGCGGGATGGAGTCCTGCGACACCTGCCAGAGGTGCACCCCATTAGGGCAGCCAGGGCCCCCCAAGTCCCCTGTGCATCCTCCCCAGAGCCACCCAGCACGTCAGCATTGCCGCTGAGGGTCCCTAGGGATCCACAGGACTACAAAGGGAGCGGTGCCAGGACCCACGGCCACACAAAAACCTGGGCACGGGGCCATGCCACGCACAGGTTCACCCCTGCCCTGCCCCACGCGAGTGGGGCTGCTCCCGGTGCTCACCTCCACAAATTTCCTCTGCCAGGCCTCCAGGATGGCGCCCGCCTTCTCCTCGCTCCAGCTGATGTCGTGGATCTCGTAGTCATCCTTGAAGTGCTCGAAGAGCTGCCGGGGGCTCATGAGGAGGAACATGGTCTGCAGGGCCTCGGCGCTGGGGGACAGGCACGCACCTCGCTGGGACCGGCTGCAGCGCCCCGGGATGCAGGTATGGGTCCATCCCCCACCCCACGGCTCCCAGCCCCACTGCGGACACCCAGCAGAGGAACCAGGCATCCTGCTCCCCATGCCATCATAGGCACCAGATGAGGATAAGGGATCCCTGCCCCAAATCGTCCCGGGGGGGAAATGCTGTGCCTGAGGATGCCCAAAACCACAGCGGCTCTTACCGTAGCAGCTTGCCCTGGGAGTCTTTGGTCATGCCACCTAAAATCAGCTCCTCCTGCCAAAACGTTCGTGTTCGCTGGGAAAGCCGTGGCAGCCCCCCGAGAGCTTGGCCGGGATGTCGGGGCTCTGTGGGTGCAGGGTAAAGTGTCAGAGATGCAGGACAGGAGAGCAGCAACTCCCCACACTCCTCCCGGTCCCCACGGGCTGTGACCCACCTGCTGGCTCTGCTTGTTGGGGGCACTGGTGGGGCACTGGGGGTCCCGGGGACTCAGACAG